GCATAATCTTCCGAGTATGGAACTTCGCAAGTGGTTCTTCGATCTTCGCCGCAAGGCACTCAGTGTTCTTGGCGCATGTTTTCCTCGCAGCAGACCCAGAAATCATCTCCAATGTGATCGAATGAGAAAGTCGTGCTTGTGCGTCGCAGCTGAAGACTTTTGCATATGTCCATCAAGGCACCATTTCGCTGCAGCCCATTTCAACTAGGTGGTGTGCGATGGTTCTATGGCAGTATCCAATGTTTGGCTTGAGCTGCTAGAGCATTCTTCAACATAATGCGCCTTTTGGCAATAATCCAATTTGAAATAGCTAGGTCGTTCTGTAAGTTTTTGCACATAGAGGCAATGAGCACCAAGTTTCTTAACTGAAAGTGCTTAAATTTGCTCGATTTTGGTGCCGTTTAATTGCGCATTTTCTTACAAAGATTTTGGTGCACAACTTGCCTTATTTGCTTCATAATGGAGCTTTGCTTTGGGAGAAATTCGCTTGCTACTCCTACAGGAATGGCGTGAAGGGAAAATGCTAGCAAAGTGGTGCGCAAGATTAATGGAACTTCTTGTGAACGGCTTGAGCTCGACCTGATCCCACAGACTGTTCTCTCCAGCTTGTAATTTCGCAATTCACTTCTTAGCCGTTATTTCTGCAGCCGTATCATGGCCTACTGCTCCATCAATAATCGCGCGCCGCTTCACTAGAATTATCCTCTACGTGCCATTCGTGCATGACTAGCAAGCGAATTTATTCCCAAGACAGCTTCATCTTGCAAGTACAGGGAAATCGTGTACCAGAATGTTTGCGAGGAAATGCGCATTCGAATGATACCAAAATCGCGCAATTTTACTTACTTCTGGCTAGTAAATTTAGTGTTTATTGCTCTAGTACCTAAACTTATAGAGCGACTTAATAGTACAGAGTGAACTAGAACAATAGTGCAAATGAAACTGTGGTCAATCCAATATTTGGTGACTTTCTAGCCTTGTGCTTCGGATGATATGCTACGACCGTCGAAGTTCGACTACATTCTCCGATCACAACACCTTATCGATCGACATACCCAAGAATTACACTCCTGGAATCCGGATAATTGGTCAATATCTAATGGTTACAGCAACGAACTCTGAACTAAAACATTACAGTGGCGTTCTCGTAAGTGGATATTTCAGTTCGTCGAATATTTTTGTCAAAGACGACGATTGTATCACATTTCACAGAAATCCGGTGGAATAGAGTACTGATGGTATACGTGGAAAGGTTAGTTACTTCTATTATGACTTTTCCCTAGATCTTCACCAAGTAGTTATGAATGGATTTGAATTTATGAGATAGACTTTCGTGGATTGTGTTCATTTCGACACAATGGCAGTTATTGAGTTCACTATCGCTAGAACAAATAGGGCTCTTGATCTATGTGATGCATTTTTTTGTGATTATCATCTTCTCAAAATCTCCTGTGTTGGCATTAGTTAATTTTGTTTTTGCTTGTATATTTTTCATTGACAGTCTATGAGGTTTTTAGACTCCATACGCACATTCGGGACCTTATGCATAGACTTCAATGTATTTGCCATTTGAAGTTACCTCGCATCCCATCATTAGGTCATCATAATCCAGCTTCCGATGAAATGTGTCTATTGAAATGAAAGCTAAATAGATATGATTGACTTAGGCACATCTCTTAGAGCAACGTACAAGTTTACTTACCCGATTTATTACTTTTTCCTCTCTGTTCTTTGTTTTAGTTCTTGTTTTTCAATTGCATAGATCCTTTATTTGTCGCGTTTCCTATTAGAAGTAAACTTCTTCTGCCTTCTTCAATTTTATTTTATTTTTGTTTTCAGAACATGACTAGCATTCTTTTCCACTCATTGCGTTTTGCCTTGTGTAGTACATTAGTTGAACAAAACTTTTTCTTCTGTTGCTTAGGGATTTCGTCTTTTTGTGTAGTCCTAAGATGCTGATCGAGACAATTTTTTTAACAAACTCGAAGGTACCAGAGTTGAGGCGATCCCAATCATTTACTCAAATAATGGAAGCAAGAGAATGTTGACATAGGGGATCGAGGCAGGGTATTGCCTATCACCTAGCTTCCGACTTACTGTTCCCAAGCTTTCCGACTTACTGTTCATCATTCACTGCGCTACTTTACATTGTTCATTGATGTAATCTTTTATAATCATGCATAGGCCACTAAGCTACTGAAGTTGTGAGAGTTTACAGATGCGCAATCTCTCGTACTTTTGTGTAATACCTAAGGGGAGTTGGTCTATCCATTCTAGGAATGGAGCAGACCGCGATGTGATAGGCACTGACAGTGCTGCTGAGCTGTGTCGGAAACAAAAGCGATTCCATTAATGTTTTTTTTATATTTACATAGTCTTATTCTTACACTTTCTAATAGCTGTATTTGTTGTCGTTTTATGTCCGTGGAAAGATGTGAGAAAAAGCAATCTATTTACTTGAAGGAATCACATGAGGGACGTTAGTTGATTTTATGCACGACTTTTAATTCGCAAAATTTCTGTTTTTCTCCTTCAAGATTTCGGTGTATTTATATGTAACGAAAAAGGCGATGTTATCACTGTCATTTCAGGGCAAAAGTGTGAGTTCTGCAAAAAAACTCTGATTCTTATGGGAAGTTTATGGCATAGATATACTCGAATATCACTTTAGCAGCGAAAGATAGTATAAAGTATTTACAGTAATGATGTTGTTTTATTTATTTGCTTTTTCCTTAGTTGTGTGCTAGACAAAAGGCTGAATGAAGTTTTACGGTTGGGAAGAAAGTTTTGGAGCACTTCAATGAGCACACAGTTTCTTATGTTGGATATTCCTGAAGGTCTAGATATTATTCGTCCTTCTTTTTCACTTTGTTACAAGCCTCCTCGATGTCCTATTGTACAATGGAAGTTCATGATTTATTGCGTCATTATTGAAGAAAGTGTCTTTCACAGCAAGCTGCAGTCGATGAATTCATCAAAGTCTACGGGAAGGCATAATAAGGGAATCTGCTGCTGAACGTTGTTTCCAACGCTTCTTAATGCCGGAGATCCTAACCTCGATGACAAAAGCGTCCGATTTGAATCACTCGATGAAGTTGAAGAAGCATGTCAAAAGTTTCTTGATTTGAAGCCGAAGGAATGATACTTCGTTTCAGATCCCGAAACTTGGAAGACCTATGGCAGAATGTCGTCAGAAAACGATGACCTTTATCTTGAAGAATAGTCTATAGTTACTATTGTTCTTGTTTGAGATTCTTATATATATATATATATATATATATATATATATATATATATATATATGTATAATTTCCGATTTCTTACAAGTGCCGCACAACTTTCTTCCCAACCTTATATGATTAAAATTTTCGGAGGTTCTCTTTTAGTTCCTTCCTTTTTGCTTTTTTCATAGAAAGTCCTCCCAATTTTTTCGAATTTCAGATGGGATACACTAAAGGCTTTCATGTTTGGCAAATGGAATGGCCACAACGGCAACGAGGAGCGCATCCAGTAGTTGGTGTGGCAACGAAGGCTGCTGCACTTCATGCGACGGGATTATACGTCGTTGATAGGAACGAACATCTAAAGCTATAGATGTGATTCGGGTCAGTGGTGTGTTATCGGACTGATATATTAAAACGACGGTGCCGAGTATGAGCAAATCTTGTAACTGATAAGTAGCAACTATTTTACTATCTGATTATCAAACACCGATGCGACCTCTTTCAACCGATGCGAGGTCGATAGTTGTAGCGGTAGTAGAAGTAGTTGATGATGTGAATGGTAAATCATTACAAGTAGCAGTACAAATCGTAGCAGTTTTATCTTCAAGGTGGAGCAATTTGAGTTTTGAGCTAGGATGAGACACCAGCGTTTTCCGCTTTTTGCTATCCAATAAGTTGCATTTCTGACTGTCTCAATCAAAATAGCTAATCACTTTTTGGTCCTCAAAAATTCATACATGACGCGCGTAACTGAGACGGTCATATTTACCACTGTTTTAGATTTTCGAGATATCTCTAGCGCAAGTATCGTGACATAGTCATCCTTTACGAGAAACTTTCAACCTTTTATATCGTATTCTTTTTCTCTCAAAGTGTAGGAGAACTAAAGAAATAATAGCATTCCTTGTTCTACAACGAATCCAGTGAATGAAGTTGAATGACCCAAATGGCTCACTTGGAGAAGTCATCATTTCACGCAACTTCTCTTTCGGATGATGAAAGATTTGTGTGCTTTTATATAAGCGGAATAGTGGCACAGCAGCACTATATTATTGGGACTGAAAAAATATGAGCTATGAAAGGACAAGTTGTTTTTTCTTCTCGGTCATGTACTAAGTGATAAAATGAACTTTATATATTCAATGTTTGCAATCATTTTTCCTATAGAGAGATAAAGATACCATTGATTCTTTGTGAATAGTAGGGAACAAATGAAAAGCGATCTCATTCGCTGAGGAGATTTTTTCATAGAATTGCTAGCAACTATTCGAAAGCTGAGATTTGAGGTTACAGCTGCAGTCTGCCGGTTTTTCAAAACACCTTTTATAACCAGTCGAAATTCATTTATCTGACCGCCTTTTGCGGTGATATGATCTTACAATAAGACTCAACAATGTAGGATGGTGTGCGATAACATTTTCGGTACCGTCGACGGTTGGCCGTTGACAGGTAACGCGTTGTAGCATAGTAATAGCGATGTGAAAGACGAGCGTCTGTAGTGCAGTGGTTCGGCACGCGCTTTCGGAAAGAGTGAGATCTGGTTTCAAATCCCGGCTGACTCAGATGTTTTTGCGCACCACTCTAATCATTGGGTTTATTGTAGGACCATACCACCGCAAGAGGCGGTCAAACAAATGAATCCGATCGATTATCAATGCTCAATATCTGTCAGCATAAGTGTGTTCATTGAAGATAGCGAATGCCTCGCCAGACCGTCGACTGCTGGCCGCTGACAGATAACGCGTTGTAGCGTAGAAAGAGCGGTGTGCAAAACGAGCGTTGATGGTGCAACGGTTCAGCACGCGCTCGCGGAACGAGTGAGTTCTGGGTTCAAATACCGGTTGACACAAGTGTTTTTGCACGCCACTCTACTGTATTGGCTTTATTCCAAAATCATACGTTTTATAACGTTGTAGCACTTAGTCTATTTATGCTTCGCACACTCTTTTCTCTTTCATTTTCTTCACGCGTGTAATTTGCTGAAGCCAAAAAGCATTTCAATGTGTAGAGAGACTTTCGTAGTATCTCAGGCACTCGCTTTATCTGGAGTTTGTTCAATAGGGAAAATTTCCCAATTTATTAACAAAATGTCGATCGTCCCACCTCGCTCCGCCTTGTCGAATGGCTTGTAAACGAACATGCCAAAATGTAAAAGTAGATCTTCTCTTTCCTGCCAAACCACTTCTCCAGAAAATCGGCGACTCGGTAGAATCAGGAAACATTACGCTATCAGATGATTACTAATATTCCAAACGAAAGCTCTGTCCGGCGATACTTCAAGCACGAATCAAAGACCAGAGGGGATCAAAAGATTGAAAGAGCTTTTGACAAACACATTTTTGAGTTCTTTGAAGCTTGTGCTAGAGTTTGAGTACTACCACTCTGAGAAAGGAGTTCTGTCCATCGAAATATAAGCAAGACAAGAGAAAAATTTGTGGTTTCATGGAACATAATTTTATCTTGAATATTAGAGCGTTATAATGGGGGTTTCAAGAAAGCGGTGACGTGGGGTGTAGCTTCAAGTCTCAGCTTTGATATGTTACTAAGATTCTTATGAAGAGTTCTCGTCCAGCAAAAAGATCGGTTTTTTTATTCGTTCCTTTCTAATGAGAAGGAACTGTAATATATTCTATATAGCGCTGGCTTATGCGAAAAAAAATTGGCGAAAATTGTTTACATTCTCTTCGCCCTGTTTGGACGATTTGTTTGCAGTTCGTGAAGAATGCTATCATGATTCAAAGAATTGCACATCATAGCTATATCCAACAGGAGTTCCACTACGGTTCGCATTTGCTCCGATTCCTGATGAGGTAAGTTCAAAGTCCAATATTTTGCTCGCTTTTTTCTTCCATCTTGCAATTTTCCTGTCTGCACCATATTTCCTTTTCATATATTTTTCATCTTTCAAAACAGCGTTTCATGCGCGATCTACATAGAATTTTTTATCGATTAAGCTGCGTAAATCACTCTCGTAGAGAAATATTTATCACGCCGGGGTTTGAATGGAATAATTTTTTGAGCTTTCTAATAGCTATGAAAATAAGGCAAAAAGTTGTTTGGATTCAGGTTATCTATGAAGACTTTTTCTTATATCACTAAATCACTGCGTAATTCTCGCATTCGACCAAACTTATTGCAGTTCTACTGTATTCTGGACATGGACGACGGTTATATGGCATTCGTCACCGATGAGCACTATCTGGGTGTTGCGTTTCGAAATCTTCAAGGACGAACGTTGTATCCGATAGTGTCTGCTGTGTGGGGACATTGTGAAGTGACAGTGAAATACCTAGGCGGAATCGAACGTGAGCGACCAGAATTTGAGCCATTACTATTCTCACCAATTCTTCGTAAGTTCCTTTCACCAAGGACGATTTTTTCACCTGATGAGAAAACTGGTAGTATATCTGTTAAGCAATTCAATAAAAACAGCGGTTAACTAGGATTATCATTTGATCCATCAGCACCTGCTAGTTTCTTATTACCACCACCATCTCGCGTGCGTTATCATCCCTCAGTCAAAGTGATGCCCCTCATTGAGTAGAAGTACCTCTGGCCGACTTTCGATGATTTAAACTGTATAACCATTATGTCTTGACTGTATGATGATTGCTGTGTATCTTACCAATAACAATGAAGTATGTGCGGCATATTCCTGTATATATATTTATATACTTATTTATTTATTTATGTATGATATGTATGTGCATATATTATACATATTGATCGGGGCGAGCAGTTGCCATACATCATTATTTTCACCGTTGAGTCGTGGATTGGATGAGGTGAGTGAATTTTACTGTAGCAGTAATGATTGCGGTTTCTCAACCCCTCATGTGTTATATCGTGAGGCCTTTCCATAAACCAAATGCATTATCAGAATTGCGGTTTCTCAAGCTATAAGTGGATGTAACAAGTCCAGAGAACATGTTTTGTCCAGCGAAAAAGGCCTCTTGATACGCGTGCATTGTGTATCATGCACGCCGTTCCCAAAGGGTCAACCTAGGTACAACTACAATATAGGACGAATGGTCCTGGTGCTTATATCACAACAAATTACGCTTTTGTACGGCTTTTGTAATTGTATATTGTTAATGGGTATTGAACTGTGGTGTGATTGTGGTAATTTCCAGGCTCTCCACGACCATTAAAGGATATCTGTAGACGAGCAATTCGTGCTGAAATGGGACGTCATCGTTTGCATTGAGTTGATGAGTTACGACTACCACCCCCAATGAAACGTTTTATTCTATATCAAAAATAGTTGTCGTAGGGATATATGTTTTTCTCTACCGAATTTGTTCGGATTTGGCTGAGCTTTTTGTGAGGACATTGCAATTATGCCTTCCGTTGCCACATGATTCTGTGTATGTTTGTGTTTGAAAACTGTGCATTTTTCTACCTATCTACATGTTCACTTCTCCCTTCACTATATCATTAGTGTCTTCATCTGTTGTTATCTCCTCAATCTGCTTACGTGTGTCTGTAGTTTTGTTCCATTTGATTGGTACTATTTTTCACAGATATGTTTCATAATTTCATTGCTAAAGGACCGGTAATATTTTTGTAATCTCGTATTTCTTGTGAATTGACGATAAATTCGTTTTGTTTCTGTCATTGAAATTGATCACTGCGCTCATCTGAGAAATACGGCTCATCGTCAAACGGTAATCAGGTCCACTCTCTTATTCACTTTGGCTCATTGTACTGCAATCACTATTTGGAATAGTCTTAAAGTTTGTTCGGATTTGGCCGAGCTTTTTTCAAGGATATACACAATGAGGATCATGCTTGGTATATTTTAGTAGACGAAAATAGCTCTGCTTGATCAGAGGACATCATTGCACCCAATCGCAGACAACTGTGAATTGTAGCAACACTTGCTGCCTTTGTCACATAGGGCTCTCCCTTATAATAACAATCTCTGCAAGTACTCATACGATCGAAGACTGAATGGCGAAGTTCGAGATGGAAGTGAAAATAAACGACTTTAGAGAAAAGTTTGTCTAATAGGTTACAAAAAGCAAATTTCTTCCAAAAATTGAGAATCAGCTAGTGGAAAGTTAGAAAACGTGGCGTACATGCAGGATTACTGTCTAGGTACAAGCAATTACTGCAAGTCTTTTCCATCACTAGTATTGGAGTTCATGTGTTTTTATACAGAAGGCTTAGTAACTTTGGCAACTTGTAGTGAAAAAGTTCTATGGAGAGAACGGTAAAGAATTGCTTACTGTACCAAACGAAGCAAGTGATTATACTTATAACCTAATCTGAAAGATCCTATCCTGAAGACTTATACCATGAGATTGATAAGACGTTGATATAATGATCCATCAATTTTTCATCGGTTGAAGCTTCTCTAAATTCTCACAATAGCTTTATTTGATTCTTTTTACGCAATACAAACTTCTAGTCAAGGCTTTACGTTCAGGCTTTCGACGTCGATCAATCCTCAAAAGATGCCATACCTACGACTCCATTACGAATCATTCCTAGTGACCGAATATATATAAAGCCTGTAACGTGACTTGCGGTGGCATACCGATGCATTGAGTCAGTGCTGTTATCGTTCCGTACAAGTCTGGTACAAATTTGCCAACCTTAGGGTGATGGAAGGTTTGGCGAGGCAAAATCGCGAGATTGAACCAACGGCGTCATGTAAACGGTTCAGAAACATTCGAGTGTTTGTGAACGAGCTTGAGCGTATATCAGCAAGTGGGTCAGGACTAATTTTCAAATCACACTTTGCTATTTGTTGACATGTCTACACAGCTGATAATGAGTCTAGCTCTGAACTATGAGGGGTCGGTAGATGTAAGATGATTATCAGTAGGTGTCTACTTATCTGCTTTGATTAGTAGAAGATAAGACAGAGCTCGTTGGTAGTTAAAATTTAAGTTGAGAAATAACTGATGATGTTAAACCAGCCCCAGGTACGTGTTCAGTGTCAAACCGCACAGGATTTTGCACAAGATAGGATTGTGACAAGCTCATGTCAACAACTTGTGGTATGATGCAGGTCAGGCGTGATCACAGGCACTCCTTTGTCAGATCTGTACTTTGACTTTCACTGTGATAATCGACCAAGAATCCTCAGAGACCTACGGAAAGGAAAATTCAGAGCATAATAATCACAAAGAAAAGACTTTGATGAGAATGTGTGAAAAAGGCTTGTGCCAAATGCTTACTTGAAAGCAGTGTTATCGCAGCTAATAATAGCTATAAATTACGTTTATGAGGGATCACTTGAAGCTTGACTGATTGCTTGAGAAGATTCAGTTGAGATAGGATAGACGCACAACAGCCACATGCAAGAGTTAATGTAGGAGACTCACAATAACATAGAAATAGGAACTATTCGAGGAATGATTACTGTAGATTCCACCGTAGAGTCATTCGACATGTTTGTTTGAAGGGCAATTACGTCGAAAGACTCCATCGTATAAGCGTCGTTGGAAAAGGCGTCATGTAGATGGTTCAGAAACATTCGAGTGTTTGTGAACGAGCTTGAGCGTATATCAGCAAATGGGTCAGCACTAGGTTTTCAAACCACATTATGCTATCCGTTGGCCTGTCTGAACAGCTGATGATGAGTCTAGCCTTGAATTTTGAGGGGTCGGTAGATGTGAGATGGTTATCAATAGATGTCAAATTATCTGTTTTGATGAGTAGAATATGTGACACAGCTCATTGCTAGTTGAAATTCAAGTTGAGAAATATCTGATGATGTCAAATCGGCCACGTTTACTACATTGACCCATTCCCTGTTCAATTTTCGGAATTGACAAATAAAATCTTTTTCAGACCATGGGAGATAAAGGTAGCATCTTTGAAGAGTTTTTCCATTAT